CCCATCCTGTAGATAGCAGGAGAGACTTCCCACGGGAGGTGACTATGAGCATGAATCCTGGAGGGTAACTCCAGGCTAAAGGGTGGAGGGGGCGGAGCAGAGAACACTGTACCAGTGTGAGGACGGCGTTTCCAAACTTGACACCGAGTGATTTGCTTCTGATTGGTGTTGTTGGCGGTTGATAATCTGTGATTGGGAAGTACAGATTTTTTTTTTTTTTTAAATTTCCGGCAAATAGCAGAGTGCATTGCCTTAATACTTTTTGCTTGGAAGACAAAAATGAATAGCTTGATGTAGATATTTATATCAGTCGTTGTCATAAAGTTAAGCATTGTATTTCTTGCCTGAAATTTACAGACTAAATAAGTTAACTGTCACTGTTAAGTAAGTCCATGTGTATTACTTTCTTAGGCTACCAACGGCTCCTATATTTAAATTGTGAAGTCTGAGATTACTTAAGGTTTTAGATGTGAAATAGTTCTTATTCTTTTACATTGAAAATCACCATACAAAATAACCATTATGTTATTTTCACAGTGATTTATTTCATCATAAGTCACTGCTAAGATCTGTTAAATGCCGTGTAATTAACACTTTTCTGAGCCTTCCCTTTGAATGCCACTTTCCATATTGAAGTGCCTGGGTTGCTGTCCTGGCTTCTCTTTTCATTCTAGCTTCCTGTTGGTGCACACTTTGGGAGGAAGCAGGTGATGGCTCAAGTTCTTGGTTTGCTGCCATCTATCTGGGAGACCCATATTGAGTTTCTAGTTCTTAGCCTCAACTATGCCCAGCCTTGTCTGTTTTGGTTGTTAAGGGTGTGAGGCGGCAGGTTTCGAGATTTCTATGGGTCTCTGTGACCCATCTACATATTCTGTCTCTCTGCCTTTTGTTTTGTTTTTAAAGATTTATTTGTATTTGAAGGGCAGATTTTTACAGAGAAAGAAAAAAAAATCAGATGGCGAGAGAAATCTTCCATCTGCTGGTTCACTCCCCAAATGGCCACAATGGCCAGGGCTGGGCTAGACCAATTCCAGGAGGCTGGAGCATCTTCCAGGTCTCCCTCAGGGGTTCAGGGGCTCAAATACTTTGACCATCGCTGCTTTTTCAGGTGCATTAGCAAAGAGCTGGATCAGAAGTTGAATCATCCAGAACTCTCAAAACAGTGCCATATGGGATGCCAGCACTGTAGGTTATGGCTCCATCTACAACTCTGGGCTCTCTGCATTTCAAATAAATACTAATAAGGAAGCCTCGTTAGTGCAGTAGGTAGCACGTCAGTCTCATAATCAAATAAATACTAATAAAAATAAATATAAGATATTCACATTAAAAATATACTTTCTCACAAAAAAGCAATTAAAAATATACTTTTTTGTAGTAATTCTCAAATGACACTTTATCTGTCTCTGCCTCTGACTCTGTACCCTGCTTGCAAGATGGCCCTATGGCCAAGTTGTTTGACTTTAAAGTTGTCTTTTCTAGTCCTAAATAGGTGGAATTGAATAATAGATTTGAAGGCTCTTGTAAATTATGAAACATAATAAATATAGTTGCTATGATATTACCAAATTTGCCTTTTAATACAGAGTTTTATAGTCATTAAATGACATTCCCAGGCGTTCAGTTAGCACTGCTGATTCCACAGTCTTTGCTGTGTGTTTTGTACCTGAGTCTCACTGGCATGTGAATTAATGAGCAGTAGACTGCCAGAATCACTGTGTAAGTGTTGCTCCCAGGGAGATTGAAATGCTGCCTAAAGATCTTTAGGGAACGGACAAGAAGGGAGGCTTTGCAAGCACTGCTTTGTCCTAGGGTAAGAAAGTCAGGAGGTGGGAATGGTGTCAGGCTTCTGCCTGACCTTTGTCCTCATGTTTTTCTAAATGTGCTCATGGTTGGGAAAAGAGCTTCCATGGATGCTGTGAGTTGAAATTATGTTCTGTTTTTCTGACAGCCCCTCCCCGGCTATTCACCACAGTAAGTGAGGGCAGTTGGAACGTCTCATCACCAAAAACTTAAGACTTGCAGGATGAAGTCTTTTTCATCTTCTGCCTTTCCCTCTGTGTCTCTCTTCCCATTCTGTTCCTACATTCTTCATTGTTCTTGTATTCTTTCCCATTTTTGTCGTGCTCTGGTAATGTGATTTTTTTTTTTTAAGATTTACTTATTTATTTGAAGGAGTGACTGAGAGGGGAAGAAACAGAGAAATCTTTCATCCATTAGTTCACTCACCAGATGGCTGCAGTGATCAGGGGTGGGCCAGGCTGAAACTAGAAGCCTGAATTTACATCTGGGACCCCAGTATGGTGGCAAGGACCCAAGTAATTGGGCCTCTCTGCTGCTTTTCTAGGCCCATTAGCAGAAAGGTGGATCAGAAGTGGAAGAAACCAGGATTGAAACTGCACTCAATGTAGAATGCTCTTATAAGCTATGCCACCACATTGGCCTCAATTACAATATTCAGTGCAGGGCCTGGCGGCATGGCCTAGCAGCTAAAGTCCTCGCCTTGAACTCCCCAGGATCCCATATGGGCACCAATTCTAATCCCAGCGGCTCCACTTCCCATCCAGCTCCCTGCCTGTGGCCTGGGAAAGCAGTCGAGGACGGCCCAAAGCTTTGGGACCCTGCACCTGTGGGAGACCTGGAAGAAGTTCCTGGATCCTGGCTTCAGATCCTAGCATCGGCCATTACACTCACTTGGGGAGTGAACCATCGGACGGAAGATCTTCCTCTCTGTCTCTCCTCCTCTCTGTATATCTGACTTTCCAATAAATAAATAAATCTTTAAGAAAAAAATATTCAGTGCAGCACTAATTTATAGTAAGTCTATACATGATATTTTGTTAGTTACTAAATAGTGTCTCTTCTAGGATTTGGTTTGTAGGAATAACCAGGGCTTTTGACAGATATAAAATGAAGATAATGTTTGTCTCTATGTTTGTAATTGCAACACTATTAAAACTATTCCAGCAGAAGACTGATTAAATAAATTACATATCCTGTCAGTGGAAAATGAGGCAGAATTTGTAAGGTTGTTGTAGATAACTCTGATAGGGTCATTCTCTTCTACGCACACAACATGCACATATGGGACAGGCAAACAGGAGCACTAAAAGGTTACCTATTATTCCCTGGGTAGGTACAGATGTTATTGGAAAGGCAGATATACAGAGAGGAAGATCTTCCATCCGATGATTCACTCCCCAGGCGGCCTCAGGGTTGGAGCTGAGCCAATACACAGGAGCCTCGTCTGGGTCTTCCACGCGGATGCAGGGTCCCAAAGCTTTGGGCTGTCCTCGACTGCTTTCCCAGGCCACAGGCAGGGAGCTGGAAGGGGAAGCGGGGTTGCCGGGATTAGAACCGGTGCCCATATGGGATCCTGGGTGTGCAAGGCGAGGACCTTAACCACTGCACCATCGTGCCGGGCCCGGGTAGGACTTTTTTTAAGATTTATTTATTTTTATTGCAAATTCAGATATATAGACAGAGGAGGAGAGACAGAAAGAAATATCTTCTGTCTCATGATTCACTCCCCAAGTGACCACAACGGCCAGAGCTGCACTAATCTGAAGCCAGGAGCCAGGAGCTCTTCCGGGTCTCCCAAGCGTGTGCAGGGTCCCAAGGCTTTCGGCTGGTCTCAACTGCTCTCCCAGGCCACAAGCATGGAGCTGGATGGGAAGCAGGGCTGCGGGGATTAGAACCTGCGACCATATGGGATCCCAGGGCATTCAAGGCAAGGACTTTAGCCATTAGGCCACAGGCCCAGGCCCAGGCCTAGGACTATTTTTTATACTCTTTGATTTTTGTTGATGTTTACATAGTTGATTAGGGTGGGAAGGATTGAGGATTAGGGAAAAGTGGGTGAAACCATTGTTTCCACATTTTCTTTTTCTTCCTCCTATATCTGGGGGAAAGCAGGGAGACAAGTGCGGAAGCCACACTGGGCCTCCCAACCACTTCAGTGTGGGGAGCAGCCGACCCTACGTGTATGTTAGGCGGTCACAAGATGGTGGCTGGCTGAGGGCCAGGAGGCGGGATTTGTCCCGCCTGTAGGCAAACAGGAAGTCACAGGGATAGGCTAATGCCCCCCCCCCTTGCGATTGCTGGCCTATCAGATAGCGCAAAGTGGACCCACGGGGAGAAGTGATTGGTGGAGAACTGTATATAAGCAGCCGGCTTTTGGTAATAAACCCCTTTTTGGTTCACCTTCCCCTTTTCGTTCGGCTTTTCGTTCGCTCATTTGTGCGTTTGTGTGTTGGTTTGTTGTGTGTGCCGGTTGCGTTGGTGGTTTCCGTTTTTCCAGGCCCTCGAGATTTTTCATCATTTTAGTGTCACTGTAGGGTGGCCACACCTCAGTACCCAGGGATGGGCAATGGGCACTGATATCAACCCCAGTCTCCAATATGGAGCATGATCCGAGGGTCCTGCTAAAGTGGTTTCGAGAGTTCTGAAATGCTGTTGATCTTGCCAATCAAGCATAAGGAATGCTTTCCAAGGTCCATTGACTGGCATAGTCTACCTTAGAATCTCTGTTCGCCTTGATATTTGCTGTCAATGTTTGGCTGGGGTAGTTGTCCAATTTGTTCTGCTCTCCTTCCTCAGCTATGGTACCGGATGTCCTCTGCAGGCCCAGTGAGCTGCCATATCCTCCATGTGCATCTGGGCATGCCACCCACTGCTCTGTCTTTTCCACTGAGGAGGCCCAGTTCTGACACATGCATGCTCTGGTCAGTCCGCTGATCCTGCAGTTCTCCTCATGATTGGTGTTCTGAGTCCAGCATTTTCAGTGGGGGATCCCCAAGGAGACCTCAACTGAGGTGCAGTTTGCCTGACTCTTGTCGTGTTTTCCGTATTGCTTTTTAATGTGGAAATGAATGGATCTGTTTTTATTTAGAAAAATGCTCTGTTAAAAGCACCGATAAGCATTGATAAGCACTTAACATAATGCTAACTAGTTTATGTATAATTAACAAGCTTCAGAAATGTTTTATTTTTACTTTTAGGCCAGAAATATACATACTGGAGAGTTGGCTGCAGTAAAAATAATCAAATTGGAGCCTGGTATGTATAACAATCCTGAAGACAATTTTGAAACCCTTTCTTATTTTATAACCATAGAATATAAACACATTTTCTGTATTTTCTTTCTTCTTTGCTTTATTTCCAGTTGTCACTATCAAGTCAGTAGAATATTTGCAGTTGAATTTCATATTGAATTCTGTGGATGGTGATTAGTTAAAAATAAGTTTCATGAGACTGTTTTGTTGCTCAGTAAGATTTAAAATGCACAAATTAAAAAATTGATGATGTTAATTTTCTTTTAAGGTTAATGGTGAATGTGTCAATTCAGTTATAGCTTTCATAATAATTTTGATTAGGAAAATATTCAGTGGTTTTTGAGGAGTGACAGAGAGGGGAACAGAAAATATTGAGGATAGTTTATATGTCAGATGTTTCCTTGCTGTTTAATTTACATTTGATAAATACAGTCTTAATACAAAAATTTATTTATTTATTTGAAAGACAGTTACAGAGAGGAAAGGATAGATAGAGATTTTCCAGCTGCTGGTTCATTCCCTAAATGGCTGCAATGCCAGAGTTGGATCGGTCCAAAACCAGGAGTCTTGAGCTTCTTCTAAGCCTCCCACGAGTGTAGGAGTCCAAGCACTTGAGCCATCTTCCACTGATTTCTCTGGCACATCAGCAGGGAACTGAATAAGAAATAGAAAAGTTGGGACTGGAACCAGTGCCCATATTGGAAGCCAACACTCAACTTACTATGTGCTGATGGCCCAGCTTAATATTTCGTGTTAGACTGATTATTTTAAATCACACTGAGTATTTTACTTTGAAAACAAAACTGTATAAAACCTGATATAATTTCTGAGCCAGGTGCGGCCTAGCGGCTAAAGTCCTTTCCTTGAACACACTGGGATTCCATATGGGCACCGGTTCTAATCCCAGCAGCTCCACTTCCCATCCAGCTCCCTGCTTGTGGCCTGGGAAAGCAGTTGAGGACAGCCGAAAGCTTTGGGACCCTGTACCCGTGTGGGTGACCTGGAGGAATTTCTTGGCTCCTGGCTTCAGATCGGAGCAGCACCGGCTGTTGTGTTCACTTGGTTAGTGAATCATTGGATGGAAGATCATGCTCTCTGTATATCTGACTTTGTAATGAAAATGAATAAATCTTTAAAAAAAGAAACTAATGTAATTTTTTGTGATTGTGATGTGCTTGATGTTTCCAACAAAATCAGTAATAGTTTTTGGCCAGGTGGGGTGAATCTTTGTGGGTTTACAGACTGAGGCATGTGAAGTAATTATGTGAGTATAATCATTACCAGTTTGTTCATTAGGACAGTTAAGATGATTTTGCAGTTCTTAATTAAAATGTATGTGCATGATTTATTGGCAAGATCATATTACACAGGTAGCATATTCTAGAAATACTTTAGAAATAAGCTTTCCAAGGGCCCAGCACGGTAGCCTAATGGCTAAAGTCTTCACCTTTCATATGCCAGGATTCCATATGGGTGCTTGTGTTTCCTGGCTGCTCCACTTCCCATCCAGCTCTTTGCTTTGGCCTGGGGAAGCAGTGGGATGGCCCAAAGCCTTGGGACCCTGCACCTGGTTGGGAGACCTGGAAGAAGCTCCTGCCTACTGGCTTCAGATAGGCTCAGCTCCGGTGATTGCGGCCACTTGAGGAGTGAGCAAGTGAACGGAAGATCCTTTTCTCTGTCTTTCCTTCTGTGTAAATTTGACTTTCCAATAAAAAAGCAAATAAAAGGTTAAAATGTAAGCTTTCAAAGTTCAGGCATTTGGCAAAAGCAGTTAAGACATCAGTTGAGATACTTGTGTCCCTATTGGAGTACCTGTTTTCACTACCCATGTTCTGTTTGTGACTCCAGCTTCCTACTAACACAGACACTGGGAGGAGTAGTGATGGCTCCAATTACTGGGTCCCTGAAACCCAAGAGAGAGCTTGATTGAGTTGCTAGCTCCTGTCAGCAGTGCAGTCTGACTATAGCTACTGCAGGCATTTGAGCAGTGAACCAGTAAATTGGAGCATGTTCTCTCCCCTTTCTTTGGAATATATATATTATGTGTAAGTGTGAGAGAGAGAGAGAGAGAGAGAGAGAGAGTGTGTGTGTGTGTGTGTGTGTGTGTGTGTGTGTATTTTTAAGCCATCCAAACGAACAAATCCACCCTTTTACATGATTCTGTGAGTTGTTTTTTTTTTAACCTGGCAGATAGAAATTGTTGTAACAGTCCTATTCAAGAGTATTCTTACCAAGTTCCACCAATAAATATGTAGTGGTATCCAAAATGTCACCAACACAAATAGAAGGGACTATAGCAGAATCAAACAGGACTGTTCCTCTGCTGGGGAATTTATTGGCTGGTGATGGTTCACATATTGGGCTGATCTTTGGAAGAGATGAAGGTGTTTCTTGTTTTTCTGCCTTCAGGATATGGACCAGGCTTGTTATAACATAATTGTACTTATTTTACTTATGATTTGACTTTTGCTTATCATTCATATCTTCCATTTTTTAAAATTCTGTAGTTCTGATATGTCAGTTTTGATTAACTATATATTAAAACAATATGCAAAGTCAGTTCAGTAAAAATAGCATCATGTGAATGAATTATTACTTAATATACAAGAATTAAGTGTTCCACTTGTAAATTAAGACCCTTCTAGAGGCGAGGATTTCTTGCTTCCTTGTTTGTAAAACATGCTTGTTTTATGTTGGATATTACTCATAAGGAAAGACTGAGCAATATTTAAGTTGCACCCCCTACTACAACCTAAAGAATAACATAGAAATTTAGTAGATGGGTGGGTCCCAGCAGCTCTGGCAGCTGGCAAAGCAGCAGCATCAAGTTGGCTCAGCTCTTCAGTCCACCCAGCCAGCCGTCACCTGTCTTACGTCCTCTGTGCTGAAGGAAGAGCCTAAGAGGAGATGGGCTGTCCCTGCTCTTGCTGGAGTGGAACTGAAGCCCAAGAAGGCAGCTGGGAACAGTCAGTCATTGGGCAGAAAAGTGTAAGCAAAGGGGAAAAAGAAAAGGAAAACAGACCAAAGTGGATCACCAGGAAATGAGATTTGCCTACAGAAAACAGATTCTCAAAGTGACGAGTGACCAGCCTCTGATGAAGCAGGAGAGTGAAGCTGAAGCCACATCTGATTTATATCATATGCCTTGTCTTTTTTTAAAGATTTATTTATTTGTATTACAAAGTCAGATATATAGAGAGGAGGAGAGACAGAGAGGATGATCTTCCATCCAATGATTCACTCCCCGAGTGACCACAATGGCCGGTTCTATGCTGATCCGAAGCCAGGAGCCAGGAACCTCCCCCAGGTCTCCCAAACAGGTGCAGAGTCCCAAGGCCTTGGGCCGTCCTCGACTCCTTTCCCAGGTCACAAGCAGGGAGCTGGATGGGAAGTAGAGCTGCCGGGACTAGAACTGGTGCCCATATGGGATCCCAGTGCATTCAAGGACTAGAATCTTTGCCCCTGTGGGTTGCTGGTTCCACAGGCAGTGATTTTACCATCCTATCCTGACACTTTGTTTATGTGTATATCTGTCTTTCCTAGACTGATCCATGAATGTAGTGATCCTATGTCTTACTCTTGTACTTGGGCCTCTGGGCTTTACCAAGTTAAAGCAAAATTTGTACTATTCTGTTTGATTTTTGCACACATTGTTTTCAAGTCCCCTTATATGTACACATACTCATTCATTAAATACTCCTTGAATGAAACACGTTACATTTGCTTTGCTGTTGGCTCTGCATTACTACATACAGAATGATAATATTGTGTAGTCTTTTGCTACTCTCAAACAGTCTACATATTAGAACTATTAGATCTGACAGATATTTCTCTCTGCAAGAATGTAGCAGGAGCTGGTCATTTTTTCCTTGTCTTAGCAAGAAGTAATTCCAAAAGACTATATCTTGGTCTTGATCGTTTTTATAGGTTTTTTTCCCTACTGAAATATTAAGCTTTTTTTTTTTTGTCTGCATTTTTGAATGTTTATTTTAAGCAATTTTCTTTGTTGATTCTTGATTCTGAAAAATTTATAGAGATAACAGTTTTTCTTTTTTTAAAAAGATTTATTTATTTTTTATTTTTATTTTTATTTGAAGTCAGATATACAGAGTGGAGAGACAGAGAGGAAGATCTTCCATTCCCTAAGCGGTTGCAATGGCTGGAGCTGTGTTTATCTGAAGCCAGGAGCCCAGAGCCTCTTCTGGATTTCCCATGTGGATGCAGGGTCCCAAAGCTTTTGACTGTCCTCAACTGCTTTCCCAGGCCACAAGCAGGGAGCTGAATGGAAGGTGGTGCCACCGGGATAAGAACTGCTACCCATTGGAATCCCACCACATGCAAAGCGGGGACTTTAGCCACTAGGCTGCCATTCCAGCTTCCATTTATTCTTGTAATCTCTGTTACCTATACTTCTTGTCTCTTTTCTCTCTCGGCCTGTTTAGCTTCATTCTGTCTGTATTGAATAAGACTTTTTAAAATCTGTCCTCAGATCTTGTTAATGACATTTATTTTCTCAAAATTACCGCAATATTTTTTTATTTCATTTTGTTGCCTTAAATCTTATGCTCTTCTTTTTAAAATTTTCATTTCTTGAGAATTTGGAGCACTGTTGTTTAAACTTTTCCTTTAAAATGAATCCTTCCTAGCTGTTGGGTCCTGTATTTGGTTCCTCTTTATTGCTACAGAGTTTTAGTAAGGGATCAATAGTTTCTTTTGTCATTGTGATGGTGCAGAAGCAGATGGTGTTTTTAATACCTTTGAAAAAGACTTCAGAGAATGTTTAAGTAAAAAATATGGTATGCTAATGAATTTTCCCAGCGTTGGAATTAGATACTTAAAATAATTCTGTACATAGCTGTCATTTAAAAATGGATTCTTAACAGCCTAAAAAGAAAAAAACCTCCACCGAGGCCAGAATAATACAAAGTGCTTCCTTGTATTTAATACATGAGCTCGTTCAGATTTATATTTAGACATGAAAGGCTAATTACTTGCCAATATGAC